GGCGCCCGCTGCATGGCTCGTTGTTGAGCAGACCCCTATCCTGAGACAGGCTTGCGTTGTCCTTTTGTCTGGGGCGCCGCCTGCGAACTGCTGTGTGAACAGTTCAGTGACGGCTCCGTCGGTTGCGGCGGTGGCGCCGTGCTCCCAAATGGTGCCACGACCCGCGTAACTTGCAACGCTGGATCGAGTTACGCTTCCATGGCGTTCTGGATGCATTGGGCCTCGGTGCGTCCGAACGAGTAAATAGTAGCATCGAGGTGGGTGGGTCGTGGTCGAATGGAGTGTGGTGTCCGCCGCGTGACGGGGACCTTGCAGTCGTGTCCTGTGTACTGCGGATCCTGAGGGCCGAAGACGACCACGGCGAGGGGTTCGTCCTGACGTTGGAGCGCAGCCAGGATGGCTGGAGCATCTTCGGCCGTGTACAGAGAGACTGAGCTCTTGTGGGCGGTCGTACCCGTGTCCGTGTCTACCGCCGGCTCGGGGGCCTTGGAGACAGGCGTCCCAATGGCCCGGGTCCAAGGAGTAGCATGGGGTAGCGACCAGGGCCTTGGGCGGCATTTGGCTGGGCCTCATCGCCCATGGCATTTTTGGCGCGGGTTCGCTCGTACTGGATTCGGGTCCAGGAGACCTTGTGAGGTGCGCGCAGGCGGTAGGGTGCGCGTCGGAGGTCTTCTGGGACACCACGGTGGGTGGTCCAGACCAACTCCTGTGCGTCGCCGGGTCTCTGGGCAAGCTCGTTAAAGGCAGGCACTGAACGGTCGCCTCTGCCTTGGCGGAGAGCCTCGACGCATGCGTCCTTTCGCGCGAGCTGACTCTCGGGGGCGGGCGCTGTGCATCGGGGGCTTGGCTGCTGAGCATCCGCGCGGCGGTGCGGGCGAGGCGGTGCCATTGCGCGCGCAGGCGGGGTAGAAGGATTGACGTATCAGTTGCGCCCCGGGGGGCAGGAGCGGTCTCGCCTCGAGGCGGCCACGTCAAAGGCTCGCAGGCACCCCTGTGCCTTGAGCCGAAGCTAAGCGAGAGAAAGAGGGAGAGAAAGAGAAGGAGAGAAAGGGAGAGAAAGAGAGAGAGAGAGAGAGAGGAAGAGAGAAAAAGAGAACGAGAGAGACAGACAGAGGAAAAAAGACCACTCAAACCCACCACGCCCGCTTTGCGCCTCTAGCCCCCCAAGAAGTTTCCCAAGGCTCCCCAACAGGGCCCCTGGAGAGCCCCACGATGACCCCAACGGGCCTCCATTGTTGGCCTCCTTGTTTCACAATCTTTTTTTGCGTTTGCTTCTGCCGACGGCTCGCCTTGGCAAAGGTGCGACGTGTTAAGAACTCTGTCCTCGCAGGTTGCCAGCCACATTCTCAGGTTGAATGGTTGCCCTCGGCTTGGTGCGGGCCACATTCCACGTCCAGAACGCTGCCTTCGCATTGGCACCTCGCCTTGCCGCCAGCCGCTCTCTTCAGTCGTGGAGGTGGGGTCTGTTCGGTGCCGGCCACGTTGTTGTGTTCGACTCGGCGTTCGTGCTCGCAAATTGCGGGCACACGTGCGCGCAGGTGCTGCAGTAGGGTCCAGCAAATGCTTTCCTAGACTCGCGCAAATCATTCGTCAATCAATTACTAGAACCCCCACCACAGATCGCACGTAAAACCGTCGTTGGAAGTTGCCAGATACGAGCGCTAAAATAATGCCGCGTTTGAACATCACTCTGCGAGTGTTCTGTGGAGAATGTGCAAACGGACGGTTGAGATCAACAGCCACGATTCCCCTCCCCCAACCTCCCGCAGACGCCGACGGGAATGAGGGGCGGCTTGAGCTAACAAGGCTTCAGACCGAAGCAGAAGCCCGCCGCAGGCAACACACGACGACGACGACGACGACGACGACGACGACGACGACGACGACGACGGCAACGACGAACGACGATGACGACGACGACGACGACGACGACGACGACGACGACGACGACGACGACGACGACGACGACGACGACGACGACGGCAGCGCAGCCCGCGCAGGAAAAACCCTGCGCAACCCAGACTCGGCGCCGCCGTTGGGCCTCTCACGGGAGCCCTGGCCTGAGCCCCCACCTCGACTCTGCGCCGCGGGGCCCCCTAGGATGCCGTGGCCACCCCCCGTTGCCCTTCCCCCTTGCCCTCCCTTTCCTCCTCCTCTTCGTACCTCCTCCTCCTCCTCCTCCTCCTCCTCCTCCTCCTCCTCCTCCTCCTCCCCCTACCTCGTCCTCCTTCTCCTCTCGCCCAACTCCTCCTCCTCCTCCGCTTCCTCCTCCTCCTGCTCCTCCTCCTCCTCCTCCTCGTACCTGCTCCTCCTCCTTCTCCTCCTCCTCCTCCTCCTCCTCCTCCCCCTGCCTCGTCCTCCTTCTCCTCACACCCTCCTCCTCCTCTCCTCCTCCTCCTCTTTCTCCTCCTCCTCCATTTCCTCCTCCTCCTCCTCCTCCTCTTCCTCCTCCTCTTTCTCCTCCTCCTCCTCCTCCTCCTTCGCCATCACCGATGCCCCAAGCCGAAAAGATAACACTAGTATGAATAATGTGAACGCTATAACACCTGCGCGCCCCGAGTCACCACGCGGGAGCGCGAGACGAAATGGAGTCGCGTGAGCGGAATACCTTCGCTGGGACAAGTGTGTTGTCATCCGCGTAGACCCTAAACACGCCCCGAAAAATGCGCCACTGTCTTCGCATTTTCTCTCCGGACAATGCAAATTAACTGCTTTCCTGCAAGGCTTTTATACGAAACTGTGGGCGAACTTGGCAAGGCCTTGACATTGTGCTCGCCGCACATTGCGCTGGCACAGTCTACGCGCGCACTACTCGTTTTCCCCCACCTCTCTCTTTGCCAGATGTGCGCCTGATCGTTTATGATCGTCCTCTCGTTCTCTCTCTTGCTCTCTGCCTGTCTCTCTCTCTCTCTCCTTCTATGTCCATGTGTTGTTCTATGGCCCCCCCCCGCGTTCCTCCATGCATCCCCAACTCGTTGTCTTCTCTCCCTCGCTTTTTTTGTTTTCTATCTCTCTCTCTCTCTCTCTCTCTCTAGTCATCTGCCTGCTTCGATCACTCTCCATACCCCATCTCTCTCTCTCTCTCTTTCTCTCTCCCCCCTCTCTCGCGCATGCTGACATGATAACGCACCATGTCGGTATAACAACGTTATCAGATCCTTTCTCTCTCCCTCTCTCGCTCACTGAACATGTTTACTGCTTCTTGTTTATACCTGTTTGGCTCTCTGCTGTTTCCCCCCCTCTCTCTGGAGCGAGCGCCGCTACCAACTACCGTCAGACAGCGACCAACCTTTAGTCGAAGTGTTTGGCGGAGCGCCAACCGAACGACGGGGCGGGCGAGGTTAAGCTCGCCCGCCTCGTGGGCGACGCGGGGAGGCGGGCTACGCCTGCTTTGTGTGCGCGAAGCACAGCTCCGATATGTTCGCCTTTTCTCTCCGACTGGCCTGAGGTGAATCTCACCAAGCCTGGAGATCCCTGTGGCAATCATCTGCGGGTCTCCCAAGTGGGATGGTTTAGCAGGGGGCGCTCCAAAGGGAACTTTCAGGATCCCCCCAGTAAGCCTCAGGATGCCTGAGGAATCCAAAGGACACCTACGAACTCCTTCTGGGACCACTGGAGATCACGAAATAATCTAAACTTTCATACGGAACACCCTACGGAACAACAGGCATCAGATGGAGCCCCATGGACATCCCAAGAAACACTTAAGGAGTCATGAGAGAACCTCCGGCATCCGCCCGGATTCCTTACAACACCGCAGGACTTCTCAAGGAGACCAATGGACATCTAAAGAAGTCCCAGGCAACCTATAGACACCTCAAGAGAAACTGAATGAACCCCTAATGTAGAGTAGAGGGCTCCCAGATGGGGGCCGTGCAGGTGGGGTCGGAGGATCGCGCCGCATCGCCGATGCATAGGCGATGTGTGGACGACATCGGCGATACAGCGGCGACGCCTGCGTGGAGAAGATCGGGCTCCACATCGAGCCGCATCGCCGATACATCGGCGATGCGGCGCGATCTTTCCCACTCCATCTGCTCGGGCCCCATCTGGGAGGCCTAGATAATGACACCGAAGGCACTCCTCGGGAACGAGACCCCCCCCTCTCCCCCGCGAGAAAGGCATTGCCCTGGCGCGCGAGGTCACTCGGATCGGTGGGCGAGAGACCCGTGAACAAACATCGCGGAGCCAGGCCTCCGCCGATGCGACGCACGGGGAGCAGCCCCGCGCGAGACACTCGCGCCGAAGCGTGCCCAGTCGCGCAGCGAAGCGCCAACCCTTCGGTGGCAACTCATGGGAGCCTCCCGTGCCATCTTGTTGGCTCCTGCGAACCGACGCTCGCCGACGACGCTAGTCGACGCCAAATCGACGCTCATCGACGCTGAGGCGGTTTTCCTCACCGATTACCAAGCGCTGGCGCACGCTGGTGCACTCCATACGTGTAAGTTCGAGGACATACAAGGATCCTGTGCTTTGCTACCGGGCAACCCCTTCGCGGAACGAGGGCTCCGCACGAAGATCGCGCGGTGAGGGCCCCGTCGCTGCGACGCATGTGAGCCACCGCGCGTGACGCGCGAGGCGCCAGCCCCTTCGCGCAGCGAGGCCCCGACCGCCCGATTGCAGCGCGAGAATCCGGCGAATGCGACGCAAGACGACCTCCCTGATTTGAAGGGGGCCGCGCGGGGGTAGAGGGGATGAAAACAATACTTCTCGGGCGCAGACGATGCAGGTGTGTTGGGGGAGAGGGGTGTGTGGGGGGGAAGCGGGAAGGGGGGGGGGGCTGGGACGCGGGCAGCGCAAGCGAGCACTGGAGTACCCCACCCCTCCACAATCATGATGAGGGGGCGGGGCACGTGCGCGCAACTACTGCAAGTCTCTTGATTTTTGGTCTCTCTCTCTCTCTCTCTATCTCTCTCTCTCGCTCTCTCCACCGTGCCGGCCCTCCCCGTCAATCACCACTCTTTTTTCCGGGTGTGCTGCTGCGAAGCGCTGCGAATAGCTGACCACGCAATGCCTCCAGCTCTCCCGTGAAGAGATGTCCAAATTAGTCCACAAGATGTCGCTGGGATTCTCCGCAACTTCGACCTGTATAGGCGTCCCTTGGAAATTCAGCATTCGAGGCTGGAGGTAACGTGCCATAGGTAGACTGCTAAGGCGGTACTCGTCCACAATAAACTGTTTGTACGACGGGTGCCTGAAAACAACGAACGCCAGGATGACGGGCCGATCGTCAAGCAGGGACTTTTCCCTCACCATGTCCCAGAATGCCTTCTTCTTCTCGTCCTGCCTCCCGCGGGAGGACTCCGCGGCGGCCCACTCTCGCGAGAGTCTGAGCACCTCGCCCCCGTAGTCGTGGACGAGGTGGACCTGCGAGGAGCTTGAGCCCAACGGCCGGGCAGGAGTCCCTGCTCGCCTCCACCCAGGACGAGGAGCGAGACGAGGGGGGGAGAGGCTGGCGGGCGGGGGGTTGGGAAAGTGGAGGAGGAGGAGGAGGACGACGAGGGGGGGGGATATGGGGCCAGAGAGGGACAAGCGGTCCAGGGGGGGGAAGGCGAACCAAATGCGCTCGGAGCCATATCTGACGTCCTACCACTTCCTGCCATCCTTTTGCACCGCGTTGAATCCATCTCTGTTTGCAGAGTCGGGTGTGGGGAAAAGCCTTGGCCCAACTAAACGAGATGCAACATTTCGTAGCATATAAGAACTCAAGTCGGAGATCATCAAAACGCTGTCTCAGGAATGCGACCAGTGCCCGGGCTGGGGCGATAGGCAGTAGGACGTACGCACATCAAAGCGTTTCCACTACACGAAGAAAATAACGACATGCCAGAGCCACTCTGACGTGACACACGCGGCATGCGGATGCAAGGGCTTAATTGTTCTAAAAAACGCCTAATGCGTTTTTCCCCGTCTTCAACTATCCGGGTTGCGGTTTACAACACAGAGAACAGCAACCCAACACAGAACAACAACGACACCGACTGGGCACGACACGAACGACACACAACAACCCAACACAGAAAAAAAACAACCCAACACAGAAACCAATTGCCAGAAACGGAACACACAATCAGCGACGGATGTTTAAAACAATTAGAAGACTGATCGCAACACGAACCGAACACGGCGAGGCGGCAATCCCGCAGCGGAGAAGCAAACGGCGCCGAACACAGAACAACAAACGTCGATCCTGATAGCGGACAACCGCCCCCCCCCCAGCGCCGCAAAAAACTGAAACATAACGGAAAACCGCTAAACAAAAAACGAACAGACAAAAAACGAACAACACAAACAGCAATTAAAACAAACACACAAACAACGAAAAAGACAAAAACGAAAAACGAACGTCTAAAAGCAAGGGTTTGGCCAGTGCCGCAGCGAGAGCGGCGGAAGCCCGACGGAACTTCTAAAATGCGGCACGCGCTGCAGGGGAACCACTTTTGTTGTGCGGGTGCAGGACTACAACTAGCGGTGCGGCGAGAGCACCGCTCCTGTGAAGACCATTCCACGTGGCACTCTTTCGATCTGCGGGGCGAGAGCGAACCTCTTCCGATAGATGCCAAGCGGGCCGCGCACAGCACTAATCAGGGAGGGAGGGCAAAAGAAGGCGGGGCCTCACGGCAAGGCCGAGCATTTCATGTGGCACATGCTGCACGGGGAACTCCAATGCCGCTGATGCAGGAGAGCGGCCACCGCTGCGACGAGAACGTCGCGCCTGCAGACGGAGGGTCGCAGAACTTGGTACTTGGGATAAGCCCTACAACGGGACCACCACCTTCACTGTGACCAAAGTACGGGCAGCGCTACAGTGAAGGCCCTTTAGAGATCGTTCAATGGGGCAAGCGCTGCAACGTCTTTTTTTGTTTTGACAGGCCGAGAGCGTTCTGACTTGAAAGAACCAGCATCGACATACAATTCGGGGCAGTCCGGTGTATAAGAAATCTACGTATACGTTATCGGCGGGCGCAGCTTAACGACAGCATCCGGGGATAGAGGCAAGTGGTACTCAAATGGAGTATTTGAGATGGGTGGGGTGGAGAAGGCGAGGAAGGAGAGGGGGAAAGAAAAGCCCAGAGGGGAGGTAGGAATAAGCTTCCCAGACTTCCGAAGTCCTGCTTTCTGGAACTCTTGGGGTCCCAGGGCCCTCAACCCACAAGTGTGCGTATATTTCGCGCTCGCGGGGTTTTTATCGTGGTCCCCGGTGCCAGAAGTTCGCCTCCAGAGGCCCGAGCTCAAGAAAGCAGTGCCGCCCGTTTTTCGCAGGGGGTGGGGGGCCGTGGGGGGCGCCATAGGTCTGGGTGCATGCTGGCGAACCTGGTACACTGGCCCTCCCTCGCTTTGGAATTCCGCCAGCCCTCCCCCGGGGACGCCAGGCTGCGCGCGACGCAGGCTGAGCTGATCCTGCAAGGTCGAACGCCGAGGCCACGATGTCGGAAATTTCGCCTCCTGCTTCCGTCCGTCTTCTACCTTCCCTCCCCCCTCTCTCCTTTCACTCCTCCA